TGCAGCTGGCCTGCCATCAGCGCCCCCCGGTGGCCACTAGTTCATCTTTGCCTTACGGTGTCTAACCTGAGGAGTTTACCATGTGGTCGGTGATGAGCCTGATGACTTTTGTTCAATGTCCCCACGTCCTCCAGATACTTACTGGACTTTGAAGCTCATTGATGATAACCTTAAAATGCTAAAAAGTGGTATACAAATGAGGTAAATGTCCACAATGCCTTGCTGCCCTTGTTAGCTTAGTCACTTCTCTGCCTTCAAACAGGTGCTCTCAGCACATTCATTCACCTCAAGGGCAGTTCTCTACCTAGTCCTCCTCATGGCCTGTGTTTCTCCTTCACAGGAGTAAGATCATAGAGTTACACTTAGAAAGGACCTTAGTGCCCATCCAATCTAAGCCCCCCCATTTTGTAGATTTTAAAAATAAAATCATTTTATTAAGAGAGACTATTTCTTCCCAAGGTGATTTTGTCCCCCTTTTCTCCCCCTTTCAGCAACCAAATGGTTCACATGTGAATGCAGCAGTAATTTCTACTGACAGGGGTGCTTCTAGCCCTTCTGAGTTGGAGAGGCTGGGAGATACTGGGTACTGATTACAGGTGGTAATAGCTAACACTTATATAGCACTGACTACGTGTCAGGCGCTCTTTTCCATGATTAACTCATTTGATCCTTCAATAATCTGGGAAAACAAGTGATCACATTATCCATATTTTATATATTAGGAAACTGATGCAAAGAGAAGATAAGTGATTTCCCCAGGATCATACAGGCAGTAGGTATGTGAGGTCACATTTGAGCTCAGGTCTTCTTCACTTTGACTCAGCCCTTTGAACCATACCACTGCTGAGAGGAAGGACAGGAGGCTGGGCTATGACCATGCTGGTCAGAGGATCTGGACCTGCAGTAGCTGCTGCTCAGAGACTATTCATCCATCATCATGCATGTAAAACAGCTGCTCGGCAGACTGGACCTGATCCATGAAAGTTCAGAGCCCGTTCGGGGTTGTGGGCTGGGGCATCCTGGGCCATGAAAATCTGAGGAAGAATAGGTGTTGTCTGTGTCCAAACAAGAAGGCAGCTCAAAGAAAAGAGGGAATTTTCTCCTTGCTCCCTAGTCTCAGTGATGGAGGGGGGACCTTTTCTTGCTCAGTTGCCAAACATCATTGACATAGCCCCACCCCCACCTTGAGGTCAGGAAGGTCCTTGAGGACAGGATGATTTTGGTCTTGTATTTCTATGCCCAGTGCCTAGCACAGTTTCTGGTTCATAGTAGGCACTTAAGAACTAATGGCTCAATTGAATTCAATAGAATATACATGAGCTGTGTTTTCAACCCAATGACCCGGTACAGCTAGACCTGCCTGAATCTTTGATAGGAACGCTTTCCCATCATTGGCCTTTGATCTTCTGGTCACGTTTTCCCTAAATTCTTACCTGATTTCGGCTGGGTAGAGTTCTAATGTATAGAGGGGAAAACAGGAAACCTCACCTCCTAAACCTCCTTTTCCGAGCAGTCTGAGTGTCAACCTAAGAGCAGCCGTATTTGAGGACAAACAATGACGAATCAACAACGTAGTAGGAGTGGGCCCAGTACACAGAATAACACATGTGATTGTTGAACCACAGCAGATTAAGACCCATTTCCTTTACTGGTATCTTTGATTTTTACATGCTTTTCATTGCCAAATATCACCATTCTCCCTCCTTTGCTCTGAGGACCATTTCTTTTAACATAAAAACAAAGAGAAAGATAAAAGTCAGTTTAGCAAATGTATTGAAATTGCCAACCCCAGTGAATTGTACATGCAGTGTTCCACCCCCACAGGCCCTCACCTTTGCAGTAAGGGAGGAAGGTGGATCTTTTCCTCTCTTTTTCATGGTGAACTTTGACCCTCATAACTCCATAGCTTTCCTGGTTGCATTATCGTGGCAGTTACTCCTTCTGCCATCGTTGTACTCACTGTGTCCATGGTTTTCTTGCTCATCTTATTTCATTCTACATCAGCTCATGTAAATGTTCTCGTGTGCCTTTCATATTCATTGACTCTTGCAGCACAGTGATACTCTGTTACAATCCTGTACAATTCTATTGGCTTGGCCATCTTCCAGTAAAGCCTAGCCCACATTCAGACATCTGGGAAAGAACAGTTTCACTGCCTCTCATTTCATTTTCATCATCCCAGAGCCTTACACAATCACATCACCTACTCATTGAGAGCCTATATGCATTGTGCGGTATGTTCAACCTTAAGTTTCTCATCTTGAGGCGCAAACATGCCAATGATTATCACGCATCTAGAAAACTGCAAAGAATATGAAGGTGAAGCGGTTTCCCAAATAAGACATACTTATGTCTTGCTGGGAAACCTATGAGTGCAAATAGCACTTGGACCAAGTAAGCGTTGAATACAAATTTCTGCATGTGTAACATTATTATGTAATAGGAGTATCTGTCTGCAAGCCTGAGAGTAAAACCATTTATTATAGAGTGTAGAAGTTTCATTTTTCATTTCTGGCCAATGAAATGCTTCTTTTGCCTTAAAAAAGAAGTGTTCTCATTCTTGGACTAATTCAAATAATAATCCCAGCATCCCTAGCAACTCATATGTGCCATTTTGTCAAATTTCTGATCTTCTGTATCTCAGATTCTCCTATATTCAGAATGAAAGCATTCTCAGGACTTAAGCTGGAGAGTGAGGATGTGTGACTCCTGGTGAAATGTTTTGATACTCTATTTGTATCAGCTAGCTAAAATGAAGCTCGCTCACCACCCAAATATGACACAAAATGTGGTCTTGCATCATCCTGGTGTCCAGACAAGATCTTCGAGAGAAGAGCTTGGATTCGCAGTTGTAAGACCCTCCTGAATATAGAACATTACCCCCTATTTAAGATAAGGAGCAGAGGAAGGAGTTTGCTTAAATACTTATGGCGGAGGGCCTTGGGGAGAGGGGAATGAGGAGACTATTTGTCTCATGCCAATTTTCCTGACAGAGATATTGCCATGGTAGCATGCCATGCTGACTGTTAAAATGCCAAGCCCATACATAACCATCAAGCACATTCAGGCTACGACAATCTTGTGCTGTCGTGAGCCTGCACTCACATCTGACCGTCTCGTAATGTCATTGGCTCTGTTCCTGTGCGCAATGGAACATGGAGACATGAATGTAGAGCTGGAAGAGACCACAGAGACCATCTATCCCAATCCTTTCATTTTTCATAAATGGAAACTGAGGCACCTGGAGTTTCAGTTACTTCACTGATTTCACAGAGCTGGTGAGCAATAGAGGTGGGGTTTGAACCCAAGTCCTCTGACTCTACACCCTGTGATGTCTAGCTTTCTAGGTACCCAAATAGAAAGAGTAATAGCTCCAGTTTTTAAGGCACAATGGATAGAGGGCTGTGCCTTGAGTCAGGAAGACTCATCTTCTTGAGTTCAAATCTGGCCACAGACCCTGGGAAAGTCACTTAACCCCATTTGCATCAGTTTCTTCATCTACAAAATGATATGGAGAAGGACATGACAAACCAATGTAATATTTTTGTCAAGAAAAATCCCCCAAAGGGACATGACGACTTGCATACAACTGAAAACAGCTGGAGCAAAGCAACGAATTTCAGTGGTTTTGTCTTTTTTTTTTTTGTCTCTTTATTGGTGTACTTGTTAGCTCTGAGCAGGAGACTGCAAGCTCCTCAAGCACAGGGACAATTTACTTTTCCTCCTTGTATACTCAATGCCTAGTAGAAAGCATGGCACACTGTAGGCACTTAAAAATGCTTCTTGGTAGGGGAGTAAGGATCCCTATTTGAAAAAAGCTGCTAGGAGAGCTGAAAATACTTGAGCACAAATTGAGGTCAGACAAGCATATTACGACATATACCGCAATAAGCTCCAAAGAGATGCGTGGACTAAACATGAGAGGTCTTACCATTTTGCAAAAATTGAGAATGGAAGGAGACAATCTATCTAACGATGGCTAGGGGAGCAGTCCCAGCAGCAGCTTTCCCAGAGCCAGTCAATTCCTTCTCCCCTGCAATGACCTTCACCCTCCCCATGACTAAGTTCTAAAACCTGGGACCCATTCGTCTTGACCTGCAGGTGTTCACTGATCCCTGCCAGGCAGCGGCATCTTCATTGTTCCTGCCTGCTGTGATCCCTGCTCTGTGGAGTTGACCCTGGGGTCTCCACCCTATGACCACAAACCCCTGACCCCTTTCAGCTTTGGTTACTGATCAGCATTAGTCCTGCCAAACCCCTTTTCCTACTAATAAACGAACTCAAACAAAAGAGATGGGAATTCAAGATTCAAGCAGGGAGGCACTCACTGGACCCCCAAAGGGTAAATGGCAGTCTGGACATCAAAGGGTCCAAGCCGGAACCAAAGTGCTTAGATCGCCCCTCCAGTGGTTACGATAAAGCCCCTCACCGTGACAAACCCCACTTCTGACACCAGAAATGTCAACCAGGAGAAGAAGCCCACCTGTCAAAATGCAAAGAAGTCCAAGCTGAGTTGAAAGCAGAAAAATTTTATTAGGAGGAAAATCAGATGTCTAGTAATGCTGAGGCAACCACCTAGGAGAGGCAGGGGCAATTCATTCTTGCAAACCACAAAGGGGTTCAGGGAGGGATTAGAGTGAAGAATGTACAGTCTTTCCCAGGAATAGGTGGGACACAGAAGCAGGATGTTTTGTAAGAACAGTTGACTGCAAAGCTGATTTTGGCCAATTGGGGTGCACAGCTCAGCAAGGTCAGCCAGCAAACACCAGCAAATGCATCTGGGAGTGATCAAGACTTTGGCTCATTCCAGGCTCCTGACTGGCTCCTTTCAGCAAAGAGGCTTACTCTATGTCCGGTGCACCTGGTCATAAGATAACTCATACAGACATAATAATCTTGCGGCTACTGTCACAGTAGTGGAAGAGTTCTCAAAGGGCTATATGGCACTACATGGCCAAGGGGAAAAATCATATTTCTCCTCATTGTTTATTGCTCTCTTTTTAAAGTATGATGCTTAATAATTAAGACTTTATTTCGTGTATTGAATTGCAGGGAAGTTCTACCAGGCCACCTTTTTCCACCCTCTCAGCAGCCAGAGAGTGCACTCTCAATCCAGAAAAGGTAGATCTCACTTCAGACCAAGAAAGGATGGTGAAGCTGGGTCCAGACATTGGCGTCCTTCAGAAGTGTAGTTGAAGGCCCACAAGAGAGAATTAGACTGTGCTCTCAGCTTCTGGAATTGCAGGAATAAGCAAGGCTTGTCTCTTCTGTACCTCTTCACTGGCATTCCCTTTCAGAGACTGTGCCCTCTTCACCCTAATCAAGGAGAAACACAGAGACACTCTCAGACTCTACTCTCAGACATCAAAATCAAAGTTTGTTCAAGCTGGAACAAATGACTCTGGAATATAGGGGAAAAGATGTTTTCTTCTGTACAGAAATCTGGGCTGAGGGTGATGAGTCTCAAAATAAATCCAGCTAAGTCAATATTATCACTTTATCTAGCAGTTATTAAGTTCCTACGATGTGCAAGGCACTGTGAACACCAAGATAAAAATTGCCAGAGTCCCTGCCTTCAAGGTAAAAGCATTCTACCTCGGGGTGGCATTAGAGGGTGTGGGGAAAAGATGTACGCAGAGGTTGAATTCATATCTGTGCAAGCTCCTGTCCTTTTAAGGTACTGCCTTCTCATACGAAACAATTTGTTGCCAAATAAAATCTGCTTTCATGGTTAACTTGTCTGAGGGTGAACTATGAAGGAGAGGCCCAGAGTTCTGACACGGGAGTGTTTGTGTATATACTGGAATGATACTAACACTAGAATGTGTCTGTAATTTTTAGTTAAGGGAGGATCATTTCCAGATGGTGCCTAGTGCCTGAACCCAGAAAGAGAAGAGAAAGAGAGGGGGAGAGGAAAGATTTCAGAAATGAATGCTCTAAGGTTGAGGCTAGAAGTGATGGTTAGTAGAGCCAGCTTCGAAAAGAGGTACTTGTTGCTTTAGTATAAGCATACTGATTTTCTCATCGGTGTGGAGGGCAGACAAGCCATGCTTCCTCCATGAAGTTTTCTGTCACTTTTCAAGTGTTTGTCAGCTTTCCCACCTATCCTTTTCCATCAGCCTTTGCCTGGACCTCGTCTATTTTAACACAGTTATTTTCATGCTTGTGCTTTGTCCAGTGACATAATAATCTACAAACAAGACACGTTTGGTACCGTCTTTGTATTCCCACCATCTAAAACTTTACCTTGCACATTTGTTGGTCGATCATTTCAGTCACATCCAACTCTTTATGGCCCCATTTGGGGTGTTCTTTGCGAAGATGTTGGAGTGGTTTGTCATTACCTTCACCAGCTCATTTCACAAATGGGAAGTAGAGACAGAGTTAGGTGACTTGCCCTGAGTCACAGAGCTACTAAGTATTTAAGGCCAAGACTGAACTCGGGAAGATGAATCTTCTTAACTTTGGGCTCAGTGCTCTGTGACTTTGCCACTTCCTGGCTCTACCTGACACGTGGTAGATACTGGATACTATTTCTTAAAGTAAATTAAAACGAAGAAAATCTTAATGAGATAATTGAACTGAATCTATTTAAAAAAACTCACCCAGGTATCTCCAAGTATTTTAATTACCAGTAATTGTCACTTTAGCACAATACAATGTATTGAATTGTTTGTCTTATTTTAGCAATGCATAGGAGAAGGAGATTTGAGCATTGGATTATGGACCTTGGATTTTCATGACAACTCTGAAATGACCCAAAATATTCCCCCCCCCCCCACTGTTATATATTCTGAGGCCAGGGGAAAGAACAGCCTCAAAGACACCCCGGATCTCACTTAAAGTTACACTTTCACTCAGGAATTATATGAACACAATTATAAAACACTTTTCACACAAACAAAGTCAGATCTAAATAATTGGAAAAACATTAGTGGCTCATGGGTAGGCCAAGCTAATACAATAAAAATGACAATTCTACCTAAATTAGTTTACTTATTCAGTGCCATACCAATCAAACTACCAAAAACTAATTTTATGAAGCTAGAAAAATAATAACAAAATTCATCTGGAAGAACCAAAGGTCCAGAATATCAAGGGAATTAATAAATGCAAATGCTAGGGAAGGTGGCCTAGCCATACCAGATCTTAAATTGTATTATAGAGCAGCAATCATCAAAACCACTTGGTACTGGCTTAGAAATAGAGTGGTAGACCAGCAGAATAGGTTAGGGACATGATACACAGTAGTCAATGACTACAATAATCTGTTATTTGATAAACCCAAAGACTCCAGCTTCTGGAATAAGAACACACTATTTGACAAAAACTGCTGGGAAAACTGGAAAATAGTATGGCAGAAACTAGGCATAGACCAACAAAAATAAAGACAAAATGGGTACATGACTTAGATATAAAGGCTGATATCATAAGCACACTGGGAGAGTAAGGAATAGTTGGCCTGTCGGATTTATGGAGAACAGAAGAATTTATGACCAAACAAGAGATAAAGAACATTATGAAATACCAAATGGATATTTTTGATTACATTAAATTGAAAAGTTCTGCACAAACAAAGCCAATGTAACCAAGATTAGGAGGGAAACAGAAAATGGAAAGAATTTTTACAACCAGTGTCTCTGATAAAGGCCTCATTTCTAAAATATATAGAGAACTGAGTCAAATTTATGAGAGTACAAGTCATTCCCCAATTGATTGGTCAAAGGATACGAACAGGCAGTTTTCAGATGAAGAAATTAAAGCTATCTAGGGCCATATGAAAAAATGCTCTAAATCATTACTGATTGGAGAAATGCAAATTAAAACAACCGTGAAGTACCACCTCACATCTATAAGACTGGCTAATATGACAGAAAAGGAAAATGATAAATGCTGGAGAAGATGTGGGAAAATTAGAACATTAATGCATTGTTGGTGGAATTGTAAACTGATCCAGCCATTCTGGAGACAATTTGGAACTGTGCTCAAAGGGCTAAAAAATGTGCATACTCTTTGACTCAACAATACCACTTCTAGGTCTGTATTCCAAAGAGATCCCACAGATGGGAAAAGGACCCACGTGTATAAAAATGTTTGTAGTAGATCTTTTTGTGGTGGCAAAGAATTGGAAATTGAGGGGATGCCCATCCATGGGGGAATGGCTACACAAATTGCAGTATGTGATTGTAATGGAATATGATTGTGTTATAAGAAAAGATGAGTAGGCAGACTTCAGAAAAACCTGGAAAGACTTGTATGGACTCATGCTGAGGGAAGTGAGCAGAAGCAGGAGAATGTTATACATGATAACAGCCACATTGTGCAGAGGACTAACTTTGATAGACTTATCTCTTCTTAGCAATGGAAGGATCTAAGACAGCTCCAACAGGCTCATGATGAAAAATGCTGTCCACATCCAGAAAAAGAACTAAGGAGTCTGAATGCACATCAAAGCGTATTATTTGCTCTCTCTCTTTTTTCTTTTTTTTTTTTTTGTTTGTTTCCTCTTTCTCATTTCTTCCATTGCTTCTAATACTTTACAACTTAACTAAAGTGAGAATAGGTTTCATATGAATGTATATATAGAGCCTATATCAGATTTCATACCATCTTGGGGTAGAGGGAGGGGCAAGATGGGGAGAAAATTTGGAACTCAAAGTCTTATGGAAGTGAATATTGAAAACTAAAAATAAAATAATTTTTAAAAAAAGTTATACTTTCACTGATTAGAGTCAGGAACTGACCTCTTTTCTGTCTCTTGGATGGTCTCCAGCAGTGGGAGGCCACGAGTCTCAATCAGAAAGGAGACAGCAATGGCAGAAAGAATAGGCACTACTCCAAACAACAGAGGCTTCAGAATAGTGCTAGAGGTCTCAGTGATGTAGACACAGGGAGCCAGCACTGCACCAAAACGTGAAGTGAAAATCCCAACACTCGTTCCCTTCTGCCTGTAAGTGAATAAAATTGGAACAAAAGTTAGAATATAAGTGACCTGAGGGCAGGGACTTCTCTGCTTTCCCCCTGCCTTCCTCACATGTAGCTCAGTGCCTTTCCCATAACAGAGTGAAAGCTTAATGGATAGACCCCAGTAATTACCTAACTAAGTGAGCTTGTGCAGCACAGATGTGAGGGGGAGCAGGTAAGTCATCCTGGTGCCAAAAGCTGCTTGTTTGAAAGTTGGCATTAATCAATTCTGTGCCACTGGCAAACCTCAAAATAATACATTTTGTTCTATCAAGATCCAGAGGAACCCTGACACACCCTGCTGCCCCTTGTCCTGTATCCTACAGAGGAGTCTGACCTAATCTCTTGGATTAATTTTATCCCTCATAAGTTTTTTAATCTTATCATTCTCACAGAGCTCTTGGGCCTAAAGTGGGTTGTACTCTCCATAACATCTGCTGATACATGCACACATACATAGATAACTTAAGGCATGTACATATATAAGTCTATAAGTCTCCAAAAGATCTGATACAAACACAAGAGGTTATTTTCTTTGGTTTTTCTTTGACAATTTGCTCAACCACTACAGTGGAGACAAAAAATACTTTGAATCGAATGGAATATACATTTGCTCTTTTACTAATGGGAAGAGGAAGCAGATTAGAAGGTTCCCACAGGAGGAGCTCAATGGAGGCCATACTATCCTCATTACAACACCCTCCCACCAATGGGAGTCAAACATAAAGTGCTAAAGCAGACCCTTTAATGGAAGTCCCAAGGCCTGCAATTCTCGGTTCCCATTTGTCAGGGAATATTAGGTTTGTCGAACTTTTCATCCTTATCATCATCCTCTTACCCCAGGCCTATGAGCTTGGTTTCTAGGCTCAAAAAATCTCCACTAAAGTACTGTATAAATTAATAATCTTAAGTTCTGGCTTCTATCTCAATGTTGTACAAAAGGTTTTCCCCTGAAATTGAACTAAATTGTTATGGCATAATTTGATTTTCATAAGTTCCCAAGACGTTTTGGCCCCCCACACTAAAGAATCTCTTGTATTCCTGGGGAACCAACAGAGGCCTTGCCATATTTTCCTGAATATAGCAGAGAGAGGTTATTATGTTCTTGTAAGTAAAATATGTCACAAAATCATAACTGTTCAGTTTGAAGAGTCCTACACCATCTAGTCCAATATTCTTCTCTTTGCACAAATGAGCAAACTGTGTCACAGTGAATTGTCTGGCCCAATGTCACAAATGCAGTTAGCATCTAAGGCAGGCAGGATTTGAACCCACGTCCTCTCAGTCCAGAGCCAGTGTTTTCCCATGACATCTTGCTATCTATAGCCCTCTGACATATTAGGAAGATAACTTTGTTAGCCTGTGTGGTTCTCTTTTACCATTGTGATCAGGGAGGTATTAACTTCAGTGAGAGAGGTGAGACTGCAGAGAGAAGTGTTTGGTAGAATAATGGATTTGGCAGCAAGGGATTGAAAGGACAAGTGGCTACACTGGTGAGTCAGGTGTTAAGCTCTAGCAGAATTGGCTGCAGTGGATATCGAGATATGACAAACTTGTGAATGCTTGAATGACACTGCTAATAAAGACGTTTCGAGATCAGCCCTCGGACAGAGGGCTGGAAGGGTTTGCTCCTTGTTTTTCGTGCCTTACTTTTCCCTTTCTGTGTCTTCTTTCCTTCCTCTGAGCTTCCTCACCCCCAGTATATGTCCTCTCCCTCATCATCATATTTAAAACAGATTTTCTTCATTGTTCCTCAGAAACTGTATGTTTCTCCTTCCAAAACCTCCACTTTGTAGCTAAAGAAAATCACATCAGTGGCTGACCTAACAAATACGTGGACAAAAAACAGCCAGTGGCTAGCAAGTTAATAAGCCTCCAATGTAAAATGAACAGGCTTTCTGCTGTCTCTAATCTAGTGCACCTCAGACAAGCATCCTTCAGACATATTGGTAAGCCTTTTTCTTCTGTCAATCGACTGTATTGTTGGGTATGAGAACCACACAACAGAGAGATGTTTATGGAAGAATTTCATGTTATCATTATGTATCCATTCTTTGAATATTCACTTTTGATGCAAAGTCAGTGGAATGGAAGTTCCTTGAGAACAGAGTGGTTTAGTTTTTGCTTTTCTATTCTCAGTGCCAAGCACAGTGTCTGGCTCATAAAAGTCAATTAGTAAATAATGGTTAAATTGAATTCAATTGAGTGTACATGGACTGTGTTTTCAACTCAATGACCCAGTAAATCTGCACCTGCCTGAATCCTTGAAAGGAACATTTTACCATCATTGACCTTTGATGCCATGGTCCCATTTTCCTTATATTCTTACCTGATTTCAGTTGGGTAGAGTTCCAATGTGTAGAGGTAAATGCATAAAAACATAACTCCCAAGCCTCCTCTTCCAAGCACATTGAGTGTCAGTGTTAGGGCAGCCATATCTGAGGACAAACAAAGGGGAGATCAGCAGTTTATTTAAGCTCAGCAGGTGCTTCTGACTCTCTGGTCGTCATTTGGAACTTCATTTATTTATATTCAGGACAGTCAAGCTATGACAAGTTCTTGTAGCTCTTTTCAATTCACTTATTATTGACTCTTTATTTTATTTTATTTTATTTTATTTTATTTTATTTTATTTTATTTTATTTTATTTCCTGCTCAGTTTAGAAAGCAGAGTTTCACATGCTTCCCTCAGTGAAAACTGCACATTCAATTACCAAAGTGACTGCCTTCCTGTACACTCTTTAAAGAGTTGCAGCCAGCCCCTCTGCTTGTGAGCCGCACTAGAAGGCCAGAGGCAGCCCTTTCTTTGAACGTCCCCCTCCTCCTCCAGCTGCATACAGAGCAGACAGATGTATGGTAGGAGTGGGCACAGTACACAGAAAGACACATGTGATTATTGAATGATGGCCAAGTAGGATCCACGTGCTCTGCTGACATCTTTGGTTTTTATATGCTATTCATTGCCAGATAGAACCCTCCACCCTGTATCCAGCGAAGGATTTATTTCAACAAAAAACCAAAAAGAGTGAGATAAAATCACTTCAGTGAGAGCACCCAAATCGTTAACTTGGGCGGATTCCATACGCAGTGTTCCACACCCACAGGCCCTTGCCTTTGCAGTAAGGGAGGAAGGTGGATCTTTTTCTCTCTTTTTCATGGTGAACTTTGACCCTTACAATTCCATAGCCTTCCTGGTTCCATTATTATCGCAATTAATCCTTCTTACATCGTTGTACTCATTGTGTCCATGGTTTTCTTGCTCATCTTACTTCACTCTGCATCAGCTCATGTAAATGTTCTCATGTGTACTTCATATTCATTGTTTCTCTCAGCACAGTAATATTCTATTACAATCCTGCAGCACTATTGGCTTGGCCATCCTCCAATCAAGTCTGACCCACATCCAGACCTCTGGGAGAGAACAGTTTCATTGCCTCTCATTTCATCTTTGTGGCCCCAGACCCTAATACAATCACATCATCGAATCGTTTTAGATACTTTAAACATAGTGCAGGATATTCAATGAACAGTTTCTCACCTTGAGGCACAAATATGGGAATGATGATCACACATCCAGAGAAAAGTGCACAGAAGATGAAGGTGAAACGGTTTCCCACATAAGACATGCTAATGGATCCAAACAACCTTGCTGGGAAATCTATGAGTGCGAATAGCACTTGGACCAAGTAAATGCTGAACCCAAATTTCTGTAAGTCCATCACCATTGCAGTATAGGAGAATCCACAGGCAAACCTGGAAGTAGAACCATTTATTATGGAGTATGAAAGTTTTATTTTTCATTTCTGTTCAATGAAATGCTTCTTTTGCCTTAAAAAGGAAATATTCTCATTCTAGGACTAATTCAACAATAATCCTAGTGTCTCAAGCAACTCCTGAATCCTATTTTCTTAAATTTATGAACCCCAATTGTTCATAGCCTCCTAAGTTGGGGATGATAGCATTCTCAGGACCTAAGCTGCAGAGTGAATGTATAGGACTGTTGTCAAATTATTTTGATACTCTGAATGCAATCAGTTGATTAAAAATAAAGTTCACTCACCACCCAAACACGACACACGATGATATCTTGCATATTCCTGGGGTCTGGAAAAGGTCTCTGAGAGAAGAGCTTGCCTTCACAGTTGTAAGGTCTTCCTGAATGTAGGACATTACCCCCTGTTTAGGAGAGAAGACAGACGAAGGGGAAGTCAGCTTAAATAAATGGGTTCAAGGATCTTGAGGAGAGGGGAATGAAAGGACAATCTTTATACCTTCCCAACAGAGATTCTACCATGGTAGGGGAATCATGCTAACAGTCAGAATGCCAGGCCTTGCACATAACCACCAGGCACAGTTGAGCTTTACCTCTCACAGGCTGTCATCAGCCTATCCTGCCATCTGACCATCCCATAATGTCATTCGCCCTGCTTCTGTGTGCAATGGAACATTGGGACAGAAATCCAGATCTGGAAGAGACCACGGAGGCCATTTATCCCAATCTTCTTATTGTACATAGGTAAAAGCTGAGGTAACCAGATCTTAAATTACTTGACTAATGTCCCAGAGGTGGTGAGTGTCAGAGGTGAGATCTGAGCCCAAGTCCTTTGACTCTAGACTCTAGCTGCCTAGGTACCTAAACAGAGAGAGAGAGAGAGAGAGAAAGACAAACAGAAATCGATACCCTTCCATTTAATGACAATTTTTGTCTTTTGTGCAACTATCACAGACATCAGCCCTTCTGTTATATGGTGTCTCTTCAAAGAAAATCCACCTGGAACACTCTCCCAAGAATTTAGTCCCTTTCCCTCTTGGTATCGCAAAGCTTCTTCTGCATTCACCTTCTATGCCACCTCCTGGAGGAGAACTTTCCTAATAACTCCAGTTGTGGTCTAGTTGATAAAGTGTTATGCTTGGAGTTAGGAAGACCTGAGTTCAAATCCAGCCTCTGACACTTACTAGCTATGTGACCCTGAGCAAGTCATTTTACCTGTTTGCCTCAGTTTCTGCATCTGTAAAATTATATAAAGAAGGAAATAGCAAACCACTCAATTATCTTTGCCAAGAAAACCTCACAAGGGGTAACAAAGAATCAGACATGACTGAAAGCTGATTGACTGGCAACAGATTGGATATGGAGATTGGTGAGAGTTGGGAGCTGAGGATGACATCGAGGTTAGAAGTCTGGGGGACTATGAGGACTGTGGTGGTTCTCAGGCGTAATAGTAAAGTTCAGAAGAGAAAAGGATTTGGAGTATAAAATGAGTTTATTTTTAATATGTTAAGATGAAGATGTAGATATCAAGATGTCTAATGGGCAGTTGGAGATGGGAGACTGGAGGTCACAGAAAGGCTAAGGCTGAATAAATAAAACTGAGAATAATCAGCATCTAGCTGGTGAGTAAATCCATAGGAGCCAAGGAGATCAGCACCAAGTGAAAAGTATAGAGGGAGAAGAGAAGAGGGCCCAGGGCAGAGACCAGGAGAACATTGAAAGTAATCCCAGATGATCTGGATGAAGATCAAGCAAAGGAGGTTGAGAAGGAGTGGTCAGAGAGGTAGAAGGAGAAAGGGGAGAGAGGAGCATCTTGAAAACTTAGAAGGAAGAGAGTATCAGGAGAGGAGGTTGACTGACTGCAATCAAAGGCTGCAGAGGTGTCCAGAAGGATGAGGACTAAGAAAAGATGATTGGAATTTGCTGGTCAGAGATTGCTGGTTACTTTGGTTAGAGGACTTTTAGGAGAATGATGAGACTATAATTCAGGTTGTAAAGATTTAAGACAAGAGAGAGAGGAAGGGAAGTAGAAGCACTTACTGCAAGTGGCTTTCTCAAGGAGTATGGGAGCATGGATAGAACAAATGAGGATTTGGGGGGGACAGAGAGACTGAGGCATTTTTGTTAGGTCGCAGGGGAAGAACCAGCAGACGGGGACAGTTTGAAGATAGAGGAGAGAAGAGAGATGTCAGAGGGGGCAAAGTGCTGTCAAACACAGGCTGGGAGGATCACTGACGCATGTGGAGGGGTTCGGCTTGGCAAGAGGAAGGGCCACCTCTCCATGTGAGACAGGGCAAACTTAACCCCTCATAGGTACCGCTAAAGGCGTGAACAGGATGTAGCCAGGCTAGCTCTGGAAACTCAATTCATCAGGGAAGTGAGAGTTGGGGTGCTGATTCTACAGACTTAATAGGGCCTGCAAACGCTTGATACATTGGATTGAACTTCCAGGGAGGCGTTAGCCTCTCTAGACATACCACCACGTTCGCTTTCTCAGAAGATGAGCTTCATCCCCCAGCATGTTCTGCCTTGGCTGCTAAAAAATCCACAGCTAAGTTCAGAGCTCAGCTGGAAGAAGGAGCTCATCTCAGCTGCCTGAAACATTTTTTCGCTGCCCTTGCCAATTGGTTTCTATGCTAGTTTTATCCTTACCTTTCCTTCTGTGTAAGGTGTGTATTTTACCTTCACAGCCCATGTGCCATTACTTTTTTAAATAGATTGGGTGGAAATCCTAAAATGAGCAATGTTCTCTGAGGCTATATTCTTGGGAACATGGTTGTGGATGCAGTGAGGATTTCCCTCAGTCATACTTCTGGAGTGAGCTTTCTCCCCTGTTCCTTCTGGCCATTTATCCAGGCCACCTTCTGAAGGGTCTTCATAGCCATGTGGAGTTTGTTGTGGGTGATTTGCCAACGAGCTGATTCTGGGAGGGCCCTGATAGAGCAAGCAGAGAAGGGAAAAGCCATGAAAGATGGGACCCAAACACAGCAAGGCTCCCTTGTTCCTAATGTGATTATAGTTATGAGTGGGTCTATTCCAGAGCTCAGTGCAGTGTGGGGAGGTTACTGGGTTAACTTCCAGACCCCTTCCCTCCCCCACAGGATGTGTTCCCAAATGAAATAGGCTCCATAATCAGGAAGACAGTCCAGAGGGGGAATCCATTTCCTGGTTGCTCCTGAGGGCTCCTGATCCTGGTGTGAGCTTCCTTTGGGCATGGATAGATCTACTAATATTCCCACCTTGGCCTTCTTGGAATGCCTGGATGGCACTAACACTGATGTGTGCATATGATTTCATCAAAACTAGAAATAAACTTGGGGCCTATGAAGGGAACCTGACAGGTAGCTTGCACTCACCCAAGACATTCTAATTAGTCAATCAATTAATAAGCATTTGAAACAGCCTACTGTGTGCCAGTCCCTGTGCCAGCCACTGGAAAGAGGGACACAAATTACAAACAGTCCCTGCCCTGAAGGAGCTTGCATTCCATGAGGGGAAGTGACAGGTGCACATGGAAGTATATCACAGACTAGACCCAAAATACATATGACACCATTGGTGGGGGGGGGGGAGCCAGAAAGGGGTGACAGCAGCTGAAAGGCGCCACTTAGAGGGTGGTGCCTGCCCTGAGCTTGAAGGAAACTAGGGGGTCTAAGAGTCAGACTTCAAGGTTGTCTCGGGAATGTAGCAGCTCCAGAGCCTTGGGATCACTAGGGGCACTGGTCAGTGACTCCTTTTAGCCCTCTGGAGCTTGTGCCCAGCATGCCCAAAGATCACAGAGTCCACATGAACTTTGATTAACCATCCTCAGGTTCAGTTTCCTCAGCTACAAAATGGGGATAATAATGGCACCTACCTTCCAGGCTTGGTGTGAAAGCCCAGTGAGATAAGATATGGAAAAAGCTTTGGGAACCGTAAAGTTCTGTGTAAATATTAGCGATTACTGCTAAAGGCTATTGGGGAAAGTTAAGTTCAGTGGAGGGGGAGGGTGTGCTGGGCCCAGCCCAGGGCACAGGAAATAGCATTTCTGAACTCTCAGCTGTGGATGAAATCCAGTTAGTCCTGACAGAAGGCCCTGGTGCAGCTGCCATGGACCCAGGGATATGAACAGCCCTCTTGGTGACTGATGGCAGCATTCTACATTACACAGCAGAAACTTCTCTGCACAGGACAAAGTGAGTGTAGAGGAGAAGGACTTAGGAGGGCTTTGGAGCAGCTTTGCCAAGCAGCTTTCTAAATGCCACATTTTTCAAAACTGCAGAAACTTCTATTTGCCTGTCCCTCGATCTTTCCCTTCTGAGTCTTTGACAGTCCTTAAGCTAGGGCCTGGCCCATAGTTGGAGCTTAATAAATGCTACTTGACTAACTGACTGTTTGGAAAGTTTATTTGCTGTCCTGTCCACGTACAGGGCAAAAAGAAGGGCAATCACAAAGGAGGCTGAAGCGGAAAACTGCAGCCAGTGCCAGTCTCTGACCAGGTAGGCCCATCCAGACATGAGGATCTGTCCCAAAGAGGATGAGTATATATTATAAGTGTTCACATGGATTCGTCTCTCAGGAGGCGTCCACTCTAAAGCTTAAAGGAAAAACAAGATGAACAATTAGGCTTCATGAAATGCCGAGAAGGTGGGATGGCAGGATTGCCAAGAACTTGGGTTCAAACTGATCGTAACTCAAGGATTCAACAGTAAAGATTTCAAGAAATATTTGCTATGGAACCTGCTGTGTGCCAGACACTGTGCTGGGCAGTGGAGGCACAAAGACAAAGCAAGAACATATTCTGCCCTCAAGGAGCTTGCATTCAACCAGCTGCCTGGAACACATATATCAATTCTGCCATCAGCAGACTGCCACGTGCCAGAGGGTATCACTGGCCTCAAGGAGCTTGTATTGTCGTCAAATCTTCATCAGCAGCATAAGACTCTCTAGCATTTTTGTCATGCTTTAAAGTTTACAAAGCACTTTAAAGTGTTCACTTGCTTGATCCTCAGAATAACCCTGTGAGGTAGAAGCTATTCCTATCAACATTTTATGAATGAGAACATTGAGACTGAGAGAGATTCAGTGACTTGCCCAGGGTCACACAGCTAGTTAAGTGTCTGAGGCCAGATTCCCACTCAGATCATCCTGATTCCAGGACTAGCACACTATCCACTGCAGTGCCACCTAGCTGCCTCTCCTTTGAAAGATGCTATCTGTTATGTGGAAAGGATCTCTGGGAGGGAGGACACTGAGGATATCTATGATTAAAGTAAGAAATGAAAGGTATCGATACAAACTCATTTTAAAATACAGTCCCTATCTTGAGGAAATTACATTGTACTGAGGTGATAAGAAGATGAGGGACAGGGGGATGTAAGGTGGAAGGGAGACAGTTAAGGGGGAGAGACTGAGGAGAGTTGCAAAGGGGAAGAAGAGAGAAAGAAGAAGTGGAAGGAGAAGATGAGGAAGAGTGCAAGGTAGAGAGGAAGAGGAAAAGGGGTGAGAGAGAGAGCCTGAAATTCAGGGAGAGAGAGGAGGAGGGACACAGGGCATCAGAAAGGAAAAGGAGAGGAAGAGGGAGAAGGAGGGGAACAAGGCTGTGATTTCCTCGGTAAAGGAAATATGAAGAAGGGAAGATTCCCTGTATCAATGCACATTGGTAACTTCTCTGCATCCCATTGTTTTAGATTGTTTGCTAGACCACCAGAGGTTTCTGACATGCTCAGGGTTACAATGCTATCAAGTGTCACAGGCAGAATACCCTACCCTCAAGGCCAGTTCTCTATTCCCTATCAAGAAATCAGTGAATTTTTCAAAGGATGTTTACTCTTATGACACCTCTATTACATTTATAATGTGATTTTCCTAAGCTTGCCTGCTCGCTGATTGGCCAGGCTCAGAACATCTCGTCTTTCTGTGTTCCTCCCCAGAGTGTAACCACAAGGATGTCACTGCCTCCATGGTACTTACTCAGGCAGTTTCTGGTGGTGAAGACACCCACTACTGCAGCGCCAGTAAAGAATTTGAATATGACATGGCCAGTGAAGGTGGGCACAAAGGCTTCACAGGTACCGGAAATCATGGCCATCAGAGAGGACCACAGTAGCATCGTCCTCCTCCCAAACCTAAGGACAAAATAACCAAATGGTATCACGGACAAAGTGTTGGTGCTGGCCTGGCCCTTATGTCATTCTCTCCTCTCTGGCAACAGTATGAAACGGGGGCCCTGACTTACCCCATTTGAAAATAGCAATTCCTCTCGCTCTCTGGCATGGACAATCTAAGTACTGAGGCTGTCTCCTCACTCTCTCTGATCAGCATCCATCATTAGCCAATTGCATCATATGAGAGGTGCTCTGGATGAACAGCTGGTAGATTCCATTGTCCCCATGCTATTGAGCACACTCCTTACCCCGGCCCCCCCCCAAGTATTGGCCCATTGCCAATGTCTTAAAAGCTGCATTCCAAGATCTGGCCTCTTTGGCCAAGCACTGTCCCCTGCCGCAATGCAAATACTTTAGGACATCTTAACATAGAAAGCCCTTGTTAGCCCTTATTTGGCCCCTTAGTGCTTACTCTGTGACTTCTATGTCAATTGAAGTCAAGCAAACTGAGGTTAAGGGTAAAGATTCAGCCATATTAACATCTTGTCATGACTCTTGACTTTCCCTCTCACAAAGGGGTTCAATCAATCCCTTTAGGGTTCCCTGAATTTATCACTTTTATTTGTAAACTCAATTTCCTGCAGCCAAAATGAATAATTAGCAATATAAACCCAAATATATATTTTGACCTAGTAGTAAGGAGAAAACTCACAACACCAACAGAGGAAGTCTTTCCAAAGTGAGGGAGCTGGAGTTTTTCTGTGTGCTCACTCTCTTTATGAGAGAGAGAGAGAGAGAGAGAGAGAGAGAGAGAGAGGAGGAGAGAGAGAGAGAGAGAGAGAGAGAGAGAGAGAGAGAGAGAGAGAGAGAGAGACAGAGAGAGAGGAGCGAGAGAGGAGAGAGGGAGAGAGAGAGAGAAGAGAGAGAGAGAGGAGAGGAGAGAGAGGGAGAGAGGGAGAGAGGGAGAGACAGAGAGAGAGCGAGAGAGGGAGAGAGAGAGAGAGAGAGAGAGAGAGAGAGAGAGAGAGAGACAGAGAGAGACAGAGAGAGAGAGAGACAGAGAGAGAGCGAGAGAGGGAGAGAGAGAGAGAGGGAAAGAGAGAGAGAGAGAGAGGAGAGAGGGAGAGAGAGAGAGAGAGAGAGAGAGAGAGAGAGAGAGAGAGAGAGAGAGAGGGAGAGAGATGCTCATAGGTTGCTTCACAAACCTTATTTTTGTTCTGCGTGTTTCAAGTTCAGCCCTGGTTTTTCCTTCCAAACCCTGGTCCACAGGACCAAAAGCAGGAAGAAATGATCACGTGATTGCCATTGCGTTTGGGGCACAAGTGTTATAACTCGGACAAGATGAATGTCTACATAGCGCATGGTGTGGTACAAGAAATCTTCCTGTCTGAGATTCTGGCTGGCCTGTGGCCCATGTAGAGGTGCTGACAGTCTGGAAAGTGACCGGTGTGTCCTGTCAACAGCATTGTTTCACTTGTGCTGGGACCCATTGACCACACCCATTTCGGGGAGAAAACAGAGTCCGAGTGAGCTCCAGAAATCCCTGAAAGGGTCCCTGGGATACTAAGGTATACAGTGAGGTTGCTTGGAGCAGGAACAGAAAGAATTTCAGTCTCTTTGGAGCCATTCCTTTTTTAGAAGTTCACACAGATTTGATCCCATAGTGTTTCAAGTACCTTTGTTTATGCAGTGAAGACCTACCTCCACCTGAGTCCTTCACATACCTGTCGGAGAGTATCCCAAAGACAACGCTTCCTGCCAGGTGTCCTCCTGCAAATATTGCAACACAGATGTATATCAGTAACTTCTGTTCACATACCAGGTCCCACTGGAAGAGAGAGGCGGGCAGAAAGTGGGAGAGAGAAAAGAGGAGAAAGAGTGACAACGTGATCCTAAGTGGGAAGGCCAAAAGTCTGGAATATCTAAATATTTATTACATTTAGACCAAATTTAATCCGTCGCCTAATCAATTATATTTTTCTTTAACTTTATCAATTACAATCATAATGTTGCAACATACATCTTTAAACTGATGCCTCTTTCTGCTTTGTTTTTCATTATTTTGTCATGGGATATTGCTAACAATGAAATCACGGGTCAGAAATTATGATTATTATTGCACCCTCTTTTGTTCACACCAAATCATTCCCCAGAAAGATTTTTAATATTTGCAATTCTAACACCCAAGAATGAGCGGACCTGTTTTTGACAATTCAGTGAACATGGAGTTCTTTTCATTAGTTTTCTAATATTATAGATTGTAGAGGCAGCTAAGTGGCATAGTGGATAGAGCTCTAGTCTTGGAGTCAGGAGGACCTGAGTTCAAATCTGGCCTCAAACACATAATACTCACTAGCTGAGTGACCCTGGGCAAGTCACTTAATCCCAATTGCCGCAAAAATAAATATTATGGATTGTGGTGGCATCTCTGATTCTTAGCACTGTTGAGGAGTTTTTTGAGTCAATATTACCCACTAGTGTCTCATCTTTGGAAAATTGTTCTTTCATATCTTTTAGTCCTTTATTCACTGGGGACTGGGGGATTATTAAGTAATCCTTTGTCCCAGGGCACACTAAACTCAGGGCTAGAGTGGAAGCACCAATTGAAAGAAGTCAATAGAAACAGTCAAGTTGCTCTTTTTGCTCATCTTGTCACTCTTCATTTTACTCATGGAAATGTCCACATGTTTGAGTTCATAGAGCCATGAGGGTGAGGGATTTAACCTTACTTGTCGAATCAACAGTTGCTTTCTCCTTAAGGTCAGAAGCATAACATTTTTATGTCTAGCTCAGAAGACCCATTAAATTTCTGTGTGTGCAAATGACTAAAAAGAAAAATGATGTGTGTTACCATCTGACTAGTGGGTAGAGGGCAAGTCTTGGCATCAGGAAGGCCCAGGTTCACACTTTGCCTCTGACACATTCTAGTTCTGTGAACTTGGGCAAGTCACTCAACATCTCATGCCTCTCAGGCAACTCTAAGACCATAGTGGGGAGACTGATCTGTGTAAGTAAAGGAATTCTCTTCATTGGGAATTTTCTATGCTGAGAAAATCCCAGATTTGAACAGACAAGACAGGATGGACTATGTTCCCCTCTCTGACTCTTTGTAGCTGTATAATACTGGATAAGCCACTTGACCTCTCTGATCCTCAGGCTCCTCATCTATCAAATGGCTATAATATCACCATCATTTACCTCATAGACTTGTTGGGAGGCTCAAATGAGCTCATGTCTGCAGGACACTACAGACATGTCAGCTTTGTCAACAATTTTCCTGCTGCTGATCATGCAAATCCTCAAAGGTTTTTATGTAACATGTTCGACACACCACTCTCATCAGACGTAACATTCAGAAGACCTCATCACTAGCCTGCAAAAACTGCCACTCTCCCAGAAACCTTCAGGATGGAAAATGATGGAAAAGAGAGTCCCTCACCCTAGTGAATGACTGGAAACCAAAAGCAACTTACCCCAAGACTTTGGAATTCTTTATTCTGATGTTCCTGGGGAGGGGGTCACTTTGGGAAATGAGATTTGGGATTTTGTTGCTATTTGCAGGGTCAGTAGGGAAAAAAGAAACCAAAGAATTTAACCAAAGAGCTGCTCACTCAAACTGGGCTCTGTACTGACCTCGGCAACAATGGAGGAGGAGGAGACACTCTTGTCGTAGACCCATCCATCCAAGCAATGCTCAGTGTCCAGTCTTGCCTGCTCTGTGGCATTTGGATTCAGGAGCTGCCACTGAGGTTCAGTAAACCTGAGGCATGTCTCTGGCTTCCCTCTTTTGTCCATGGGAATGGACACTTTCAGCAGGTCCCTGTCCCTCCCATCTCCCCGGAAAGCAGACACAGCACTTGTCTGGTTCTGGAGGCGGCAGTGGTGCTCTGGTATCACCCTAATGAAGATCTGTAGTACATTAATACAGGCATACACCATCCCAGGAAGGAACAACAGTACCATCTGTAGGACCTGGAAGTGTCCCATTCCTCCAATGGTTTCAAGTAACTCGGAAAACCCCATCCTGCCTCTTCCCAGCCTCCAGCAGCAGTGGCTTCCCTGCCCTCAGTGCTTAGCTTTGGCATCTTGGACTGACTGCCTCCTAGCCCCAGTCAGATTTTAGTCAGCAGCCCTTGGGCATTTGGCATGAGGTTACTGCCTCTGGGGAAACTAGAACATTGGTACATTGTGTGTGGTACACACAGTCCTTGACTGAAGTTTTAAAGTATTTAAAAATTTTTATTGCTATTTTTTCTTTTTACTTACTTTCAAATATATCCTATCTCCCTCACCATCTCAAACAGACATCCCTCATAACAAAGAAGAAAAAGAAAGGATAGGGGAGGGAGAGTAGTTGAGCAAATCCAACCCCCACATCAGCTAAGTCTGACAGTATGTACAACCTCCTGCACCCATAGGCCCTCACTTCTACACAGTATTTAGAGGTTTTTGGAGTGTGGAGGGAGCTGTGCATATCTATATCTATCTATATGTAACACACATATGTGCGTCTATGTATGTGTATATATACATATGTGTATTTGTGCATATATACATACACACACACACACCTCCATGGCTAAGAACACATATTGACAAAATTCCTTTGGACTTAGCAGCAATACCCATTAATCTGTCACTCAAGCTCGTTCTAGCTATGCATTCCAAGTCCCAAGTTGCCTATGAGGGAAGGCACCTGATCTAATAAGCCTGTATTACCAATATATTATCACATGAGGTCATGTACTTAAAGCATTTTGCAGATATTAAAAGCACTATGTAAGGGCTTTTGGTACCAAGGTTGTGGAGTGAGGAAGGAACTTCCTGGAACCCTGTCAAATTCCCTTGCAAACAACCTGGAAAAATGCCCTGGAATTACATTGGGAGTGGGGAAGTAATTTGCCAGCACAACAGGACAGGTCTGTCTCACTGGAGTGGCAGAGGAGTTGGCCACATCCCAAAGTGCCAACAGGGAGGCTTTGTGCCTGGAGGAAATCCCCAAGTAAGGGCCCACTCTCCTGCCTGCAAGCAGTCTCAGATTAGCAACACATCAAGGCCCCATCCCCAGGACAGGAAAACTGAGAGGCCCTGTTGCGGTCTGAGAGATTGAGACCCCTCAAAGACTGGAGTGCAGGCCGGGTCATCTGGAATGAATTCACAGACTCAAGCATTCTTCAAGTCAAAGGGGCAAAGATTTGTTGTTACGCTTTTCAGTGGGCAAGGATTCTTAAGGAACCTGTGAGAGACTGAGGATGGAGCTAGGATTTATATGGAAAAGGGCATGAGAAAGGAATGCCAGGGACACTGATGAGGTAATCTAAAAGTCCAGGTGTCTTTGGGAGCTATAGATGAGAAAGTATAGGGAGTAGACCAGACAGGGAGGGAGATGACAGAGGTATGGATCTTTGGAGTCTGGCAGGAGGAAGAGTCCTCGGGCTGGCCAAGGAAAAAACTCCTTGGGCTGGGCAAGGCACCCCTCTCCCTCTGTCTTGATGAGAGAATGCTCTGCAGCAAGGGAAAGCATTCTCACAAGACAGGAACTTACTAAGGAATTGGGAGGCTTCCAGAGACATGATCAGAGGGCTGGGGCCTGAGCAGCCCAGCACTCTCTCACCCAGCTTTGTGTAGCTGGACTAGGAAGAGAGATAAGGGTCGTGCTGAGGCCTGTGCATGAATAACTGCTAGGCACAGTGTCCTTGGGCTGGAGAGTGGTTGTCAGAGACAGTGTTTCTGAGACTAGGGAAAAATTGGGGTCCAAGTACAAGCACAAGCACCCAAGCACCCCATCAGCCCCACCCACAGCAAAAGCCAGCAAGGAGACCCCTCTCCAGTGTAAGCCAGTAACCAGGTCCTGAAGCCCAGAACAAGCCAGCAGCCCAGGAGACAAGTCTCTAATCCCTGATTAGCAGCACAGCAAAGCCCTGCCCCGACTCTTGACCAGTAGCTAGAGCACACTCTGGGGCAAGGCAGAAACATAGCCCCACCCCAAGGCAGGCCAACAGGGACACTCCACCACCCCACCCCCACCCCCAGTTCAAGGCATCAGGAGGGCGCCAAGCCCCAGCACAAAATGCTGAAAGCAAGAAAACCATGGAACTAATAAATAAATAAAACTACAAGTGGTTTTATGAAAAAAACAACCATAAAATAGATAAACCATTGATTTATTTGATTTGAAAAGAAGAAAACCAAATTGCCAGTATCAAAATTGAAAGAAGTAAATTCACCTTCAAAGAAGAGGCAATTAAAACAATCATCAGGAAATATTTTGCCCAATTATACGCCAAAAAAATCTGATGATTTAAATGAAATGGATGAATATTTATAAAAATATAAATTACCCAGATTAATGAAGAGGAAATAGAATACTTAAATAAGCCCATTTTAGAAAAAGCAATTGAACAAGCCATCAACGAACTCCTTTAGAAAACAATCCCTAGGGCCAGATGGATTCACAAGTGAATTCTACCAAACATGTAAAGACCAATTAATCCCAATACTATATAAACTACTTGGAAAAATAGGCAAAGAAAGAGTCCTACAAAATTCCTTTTATGACATAAATTTGGTGTTAATGCCTAAACCAGGAAGAGTGAAAACAGAAAGAAAATTATAGGCCAATTTCCGTAATGAATATTAATGCAAAAATATTAAGCAAAATATCAGCAAGGAGTTTAAACCAATGTATCACAAGGATCACACAATATGACCAGATGGGATTTATACCAGGAATGCAGGGTTAGTTCAATATTAGGAAAACTATCAGCATAATTGACTATATCCATAACAAAACCAACAGAAATCCTATGATTATCTCAGTAGATGCAGAGAAAGCCTTTGACAAAATACAATACCCATTCATATTAAAAACACTAGCGAGCATGGGAATAAATGGAACTTACCTAAAAATGATAAGTAATATTTACCTAAGTGGTTAGCAAGCATTATCTGTAATGGGGATAAGCTACAAGTCTGTCCAATAAAATCAGAAGTGAAGCAAGGATGTCTATTATCACCACTATGGTTTAATATTGTACTAGAAATGCTAGCTGTAGCAATAAGAGAAGAAAAAGAAATTGAAGGAATTAGGGAAAAACATCACTCCTAGGAGATGATATAATGAGATGCTCAGAGAATCCTAGAGAAGCAACTAAAAAACTAGTTAAAACAATTAATAACTTTAGCAAAGTTTCAGGAAACAAAATAAACCCACATAAATCAGAAGCATTTCTGTATATTACCAACAAAGTCCAGCAGCAAGAGATAGAAAGGAACATTCCACCTAAAATAACTGTAGACAATATCAAATGCTTGGGAGTCTACCTGCCAAGACAAACCCAGGAATTATATGCACACAATTACAAAATACTTCACACTATAAAGTCAGAGCTAAACAGTTAGAAAAATATTAATTGGTCAGTGGTAGGTTGAGCCAATATAATAAAAATTATAGTTCTACCTAAATTAATCTACTTATTCAGTGTCATAGCAAAGTAATAAAAAATTATTTTATAGGGCTAGAAAAATAATAACAAAACTCATCTGGAAGAACAAAAAGTCAAGAATATCAAGGGAATCAGTAGAAAAAAATATGAGGAAGGTAGCTTATAGCCTTGCCAGGTTGCAAACTGTATTATAAAATGTTAATTATTAATACAATCTGATACTATCTAAGACATAGGATGGTAAATCAGTGGATTAGATCAGGTACTCAATACATTGTAGCAAATGACCATAGTAACCTAGTGTTTGATAAACCCAAAGATTCAAGCTGGGGGGGAAAAAAACTCATTATTTGACAAAAACTACAGGGGAAATTGGAAAACAGTATAGCAGAAACTAGATATAGACCAACATCTCACACCATACACCAAAGACAAGGTCAAAATGAGTACATGATTTAGACATAAAGGGTGATATCATAAGCAAATTAGGAGATCGTGGAATAGTTTACTTATCAGATCTATGAATAAGGGAAGTATTTATGACCAAACAAAAGATAGAGAGAATTATGAGGTGTAAAATGGATACATTTGATTATATAACATTAAACCATTATTGCACAATCGAAATAAATGCAACCAAAATTAGAAGGAAAGCAGAAAATGGGAAAACTTTTTTATAGCAAGTATCTCTGATAAAAGCCTCATTTATCAAACATATAGAGAACTGAGTCAACTTTCTAAGAATACAAGTCATTCCTCAGTTGATAAATGGTCAAAGAATAGGAACAGGTAGTTTTCAGATGAAGAATTCAAAGCTATTTTTAATCATATTTTTAAAAAAATGCTCTACTTCACTATTGATTAGAGAAATGAAAATTAAAACAACTCTGAGGTACCACCACACACCTATCAGATTGGTTACTATTACAAATAAGGAAAATGATGCATGTTGGAGGGGATTGGGATAACTAGGAAACACTAATGCATTGTTGGTGGAAATGTCAACTGATACAACCATTCTGGAAAGCAGTTTGGAACTATGCCCAGACAGGTATAAAACTGTGCATGTCCTTTGATCCAGCAATACCACTGCTAGGCCTGTAACACAAAGAGATTTTAAAAAGGAAAAGAACTTATTTGTACAAAAAATATTCATAGCAGCTCTTTTGTGGTGGCTAAGAATTGGAAATTGAGGGGATGCCCATCAATTGGGGAATGACTGAACCAGTTGAGATATATGATTGTGATGAAATATTATTGTTCTATGAGAAATGCAAGCAGGATGCTTTCCAAAAAAAACCGGGAAGACTTACATGAACTGATAAAAAGGGAAGTGAGCAAAACCAGGAGAACACTGTATACAGTAACAAGTAATACTGTATGATAAAGAACTGGGAATAACGGCTATTCTTAGCAGTACAATAATTCAAGACAATCTCTGAGGACTCGATGAAAAATGCTATCTGCCTCAAGAGAAATGATAGCTGTCTGAATACAGACTGATGCAAACCATTTCTCTTTTTCTTTCTTCCTGCATGATAT